CCCCCAATGAATTTGTAGGCAGCTACAAGATTGCCTCTTAGCCTTCTCTTGTGGAGCCTGAAGTGGTCCAGGTCCTTCAGTCTGTCCTCACAGGGCTTGTCCTGTAAGTCCCTAAACATACAAGTGGCCCTTCTCTGGACCCTCTTTAGTCTATCAACATCCTTCTTGAAATACAGTGCCCAAAACTGGATGCAGTATTCCAACTGCAGTCTGACCAATACTGCATAGAGGGGAAGTATCGCCTCCTTGGATCTATTTGTCATGCATCTGCTGATGCATGTTAAAGTGCGGTTAGCTTTGCTGATGATTTTGTCACACTGACTCGTGTTCATCTTGGAGTCCACTATGACTCAGATCCCTTTCTGCTTCTGTGCTGCTGAGAGGGTCACTTCCCAGCCAGTAGGTGTGCTGGATATTTTTGCACCCTAGGTGCAGCACTCTGCACTTGTCCTTGTTGTACTGAATCCTATTGTGTACTGCCCTCTTTTCTAACCTGTCCAGGTCTGCCTGCAATCATTCCCTAGCATCTGGAGTGTGCACTTCACCCTGCAATTTAGTATCTCAAGGCACCCCAGGGTGCCATGGCACCCAGGTTGAGAATCGCTGTTCTAGATCATTGCAGTTGGCTGCTGGAGTCCTCTCTCTGACCTTTTTCTAAGAGGGAGGGTTTAATTTGTTTTCCATGCCTCAGCCCGTTATGGGGAGGAGGGAAGAGGGGCACTATTTTTCCTTTCTCCTAATGGGAACATCAGGGTATTTTAGCTAAGGCAGGAGTTCCACCTAGATTAGCCACATCTCCCTGTAAAACGTGCCAGGGACTATGGGGGTGACAGTAACCCAGGAAATTGGAATTAGTTTGGAGTTTGTGGATCCTTGATAATTTCTAATGTTAGGAAATAAGTTCCACAAAGTATTGTGGAGGCTGAACTGTGCTACCACAGGCACCAGAGTAGACAAAGCGTGGATGTTCTACAGATGTGTTCAAGCTCAGGCAACCTATCTCTTTTGCTTTGCCAGGTCATTGTGTGGATTTGCCTGACACTGGGCTGTGCCAGGAGAGCATAACTCGTTGGTACTACAATCCCTTCGCTCAGAAATGCAGCCGCTTCACCTATGGAGGTTGTGATGGCAACAAAAATAACTTTGAACATGAAGAAGATTGTATGAAATCGTGTGCTGGTGTTACAAGTATGTGGGGTAGTAAGGCATGGGGCAGAGGGTCTTGGAGTGAAATCCTCCTCAGTTTAATTCCAAACAAGTAGAGCTTTCTAGAACATAACATGGAGCCAGTGCTCCAAACTTTGAGGCTAGGGACAGCTTCAGAGTTTGGAGCACTGAAAGCCTGAGCCTGAATTGATTCAATCTTTGCAGGTTAATCTAACCTGCAAAGCTTGAACTGATTTGGAGGTGGATAGACATTCCCTTTCTCATTCCAGAAATGCAGGCACATGCCTGCAGTGGCTCTGGCTAGAAGCTAGGTGGTGCTAGAGCAGCCCTCTTTCAGGATGCTATGATTAGGGAGGTGTTTCCCCTCTCCCCACCAGCATAGCAAGGAATATTTATTACCTCTAACTCATTGTTTTCTTAATGGGCTCATAAAACACTAGGGTGACAGGACCAGATATTTGTTGATTCTTCTTTTGTCCTGTGTGCCACAGCTTGGAGGTAGCCAGCATCCTGCTATGGAGAGAGCCCTGCCCAGCCCAGAGAGCATGCTGGGGGAGTCTGGTTTATTTTAAACCAGCAAGGAATCTGGGACAGATGCTGCATAAACTGGTTTGACCCAAATTGGCCAAGTCTGATACTGCATTCAACCAGGCTTATCTCAAACCAGTTTCAGCCATTTTCAAACTGGTTTATGTGCACTGACCATCTGCTCTGTTACAGGTCTAAACCAGTTTCTGGATCACTTAAACCAGTTTGTGTAATGTCTTTCCCTAGCCTGAGGGAGCAGCATCGTTCTCTAGCCCTAGCTCCCTCAGAGCTTTTCATCCTGACTGAAGGCTCAAGCAGAATGCACAGAACACAGCTGTGTATATGAGAACTTACTCCTGCCATGTAGCTTGCCTCAGGATATATAGATATAGATATAGATATTTTTTTTTGTGCTCCAATGCTGCAATAAACTGAAAGAGCATTATACTGATGTGTTAAGAGAGCAAACTAGCACTGGGTGTCCTGCTGGAGAGCCTGAGAACTTGATGCAATGTACTATGAGTTCTTGAAACTGAACTAAAGAGGCCTCTGCTCTCTCCTCCATTGTTCCCACTTCTTTTGTGAAATTCTGTTTTTTGTTTGTTTGGTTTCTTTTGCAGAGTCAGATGTAATTGGCCAGAGACTTGATTTCTATGAGATCCAGCAAGCTAGCTTGAGTAAGTAAAAATTCTACTTGAGCAACACATTTGCCATAAACGTGTTCCTGTTCCTGTCCTGTAAAACAGGAGTATTAAAGTCATCAGGCCCTCTGGGCTGGATGGGTGGTGTGGAGCTGGTCCATGGGCCAGATTGGGGCCCACAGACCAGCTCTGTGTACCAGACCCAGTGCACGTGGCCAGTCTAGTGCAGACATCTTGTACAGCACGTGCCCTGGACTGGCCCCAGGCACTACATGTAGTGCATGGGGCTGGGCCTAGTGTGCACTGTATGCACTGTGCAGGTCCAATCCAAATGCCATGGGCAGCACCTTGGGCCAGATCTTTGATTCCCTTGTAAAGCAGGATGCACTTTATTTGGGGAAAAAAGGCACATCCCATCCAGAGTCAGAACTTAATGGGAAACGAGAAATGTTGATGGTAAACTTGTTTTTCCCCTGTCACATCTGTGGGTGACCTCAGTAGTTTATTGTTAATTAATATGAGAAGAGAATTGAATCTTATATTTAGGCATCAAAGAATTGAAAATAAGGTAGCCTTGATATTTCAGGACAGGCAGCATCTGCAAAACAGGGAAGGCAGCAGTGAATATCTGCTGACAAAATCTCGTAGTTCTGACCATAATGGGCACTAACATTTTATGAAATACAGGATCTAAAATGCACAGCACTTTTTTTTTTTTTTTTTTTGGAAG